ATACGTTTTTTAGGACATGATATAGATGATAAAGGTATTCATACAAACGGAGACAAAATTAAAGCAATTACAAACATGTCTACACCAACAAACAAAGAGAAATTAGCAACATTTCTGGGCATGGCCAGTTATTACCGAAAATTTTTACATGACTTCGCAGACAAAGCAGATTCATTGTACAAAATAGTCAACACAGATAAATGGATATGGGAAGAAACACATCAAAAGAGTTTCGATGATATAAAAGAATTAATAAGCTCTCCGCCAAAATTAAATTTCTATAATCCAGAATTACCAATAGGCGTAGCAACAGACGCTTCAAAAAAAGGCTTAGGAGCCGTGTTATTTCATATAGAGAAAGATGGTAAAGAAAAACCCATAGCTTTCGGGTCACGAACTCTACTAAAAGCGGAAATAAATTATACGAACATCGAAAGAGGAGCATTAGCAATAATATATGCAATAAAAAAATTTCAGGAATACTTAATAGGCACCAACTTTAAAATCTACACCGATCACAAACCACTCATATACATTTTTACGAAGGGACTAAAAGATAACAACACGATATCAATGAGACTTCAAAAAATGGAATTTAGCAATGGGAGCTCATGATTTTACAATAATTCACAGACCGGGAAAATACAACATAGTACCAGATTGCTTATCTAGATTACCACAAATTAACTCCGAAGACACTGTACAAAATATAGAAAATGAGGATGTAAATAAAGATTTATGGGATATACCAATAAACTTCAAAAGAATATCGAATGAAACAAACAATGATAAGGAATTAATGGAAATAATAAATAACATCAGGAATGGAGAATACATAAAGAATAAAACATACAAAAATATGGAAGTAGAAATAAGTTTGATAAAAGATTGTCTTTTTAAAGATAACCGAATCATCATACCACACAAAATGAGAAAAGAGATATTAGAGGAACTTCATAAAGGACATTTAGGAGCTGGCAAAACCAAAATGTTAGCAAGAGATAATATATGGTGGCCTGGAATCAATACCGAAATTTTAAAAAATTGCGAAACATGCAACAAATGGGCAGATAATCCACAAAAACATACAAAATTCATGGCAAACAGCTACAAAAAATTTCGAAAGAATATACATAGATATAGCTCAATTTGAAGACAATAATTACATGGTAATCGTCGAAGCTTACAGCAAATTTCCCATAATCAAAAGAATAAAAAATATAACAACAGAATTGACAGTAATAGAATTAATGAAAATAATTAGCTTATTTGGAATACCACACATAATCGTGACCGACAATGGAACGAACTTTACAAGCTATTTGTTTAAAAAATTCTGTGAAGATCATGGTATCAAACACATACTTATGGCTCCACATCATCAACAGTCTAATGGACAATGTGAAAGAATGATAAGATCAATGAAAATGAAAAAGAACATGATAAGGAACATGAAAACCAACAAAAAAAAATAGATTTAGACATAGCTTTGGAAAATTTTTTGTATAATTATAGAAACACACCTAACGCTACAACCAATATAACTCCGAACAAATTAATGTTTTCAAGAGATATTAGAACAAAATGGGACTTAGTTAAATCAAACATAGACATAAACAACGAAATTAATCGCAAAATATCAACAAATAGAACTATAGAAAAAGGAGATAAAATTTGGTATAAAACGTTTAAGAAAAACATTTGGGACAAAGGAATAATAACACATAAAGAAGGGAATTTTTCATACAAAATAGACAACGGAAATAAAATCATCAGAAGACATTTATATCAAATAAAGAAACGATCAACATATATACTCGAAAAAGACGACTCGACATATAAAACACAAAATTTTAGAGGGGGAAGAGTTGGAGATAGAGAACAAAATGACAATCAAGTTCAAGATAAAATACAAAATGAGTTTCAAGTTCAAAATCAGATCAAAGATCAAGATCAAGTTCAAGCCCGAAGTCAAGATCAAGAGCGAAAATATTTTTTGAGACCTAAAAAGATTTATAATTATAAATAAAGTTTTTTTTAAAAGGTAAACCATTAGACGAAATAAAAACACGATAGATCAAAGGAAATAACAAGCCACAAAAGCACAAAATTGGTTATCTAGGAAATGGATCGATCTAAACGATGTACTCTCGATGATAGGAAAGAACACTCGAGCTTTCGAAGGGAGAAATTTAAAAAGAAGGGGAAATGTTAAATATGTTAAATATGACCAAAATTGAATATTATATTTTTTAGTTTAAAAGGTCAGTGTAATAAAAGATAAGAAAAAATCGGTAACGAAAAATGAAATTGTAAAGGACAAATGTACTTTGTTAACATGTAAATACGCTATTATAAAAAATGTATATAATGACAAGAATTTTGTATATAGATATATATATATATAATAAAATTAAATTTCAAAATCAAAGAAGAGTTTTCCCGTTGCCTTCCACTAAAATAAAATTAAACATTTAAGATATTTGATAAAGAAAAAGGTATCTTATTTGAATAATATTTCAAAATAAAGATAAATGGGTAAGATTATGGTTTGTGACATAAATTATTTTTAAATCTATTTGTCATATAATTAGTAAATTTTATTTATTTTTATAGAATATTTTTTTGTTGAATGATATTTTCATTAAAGAAAATTATTGGTTGTTAATTTTTACATATATTTTTTTATATAAGTTTATAGATAGCCATATTTTGTAAAAATTTAAATAAAGGGCGGGGAAAATTGGGTAAAAAATCTTTATGGGTTATAAAAATTCCTTGCATATTTGTAATACTAACATTGTTGTAGATAGCCTGAATATGAGTTCTTTATTTATTTTCAGATTTTTTATCAATATTATTATAGATAACTTAGAAATTTACACTTGGATACCTTTTACAGTTCTTTATCTTACTTAGATTTCATACCTTTATGAAATATATATTTTTTTAAAACGTTTTTATCTATTTACTTATTATCTGAGCATGTAATTAAATACTTGATTCTTTATATATAAATGTATAACAAATAAAAAATATTTCATTATATATTATACATATTTATAATTTTAACATATTTTGTTTTGACTGGGTGTTTATGCATCTATTACCCGGGTCCATAAAATTTTGACTATGATTAATCTAAAAAATAATATAAATATATATTTTTTTTCTTCACTATTATTTTATTTTATTAATATGTGTATAATCATTTTATTAAAAGTATAAATAAAGCAACAAATATAATTATTAGTATAATATTAATTTAAGTAAACCAAAATTTATATAATATTAATAATTTCTGTAAGCAAAAATTTGGAAATTCTTCATCTAAAACCTATCATTGACTTTGTTTCATATTTATCCGCTTTCCTATTTTTGTCATTGATTTTTGTTGTGTCTTTATCTGCTGAGATCCAAGTTCCTTTATAACGCCAACGTTATAACTGCGAGCTGAATAGCTGAAGGGCCTGCAACAAAGATAAATCACCAAATTTAAGATTTAATATCTCTTCTGTGAGGCATTTAACCTCAAGATCATGCACAGCGAAAATGACATCATATTGAAAGATTCGCGATAATCGGTTTGTATATAAAATTCTCGGAATTAGAAGGTTGTTCTTCAATATGACGAAAGCTTGGTGGGCTCAGAGGCACGTTATTACGCATGAGAGATATCTCCATTTAAATATTGACAAGGTATACATAATATTTCCTTTAAAATAAACAAAATTTTAAAAGAATTAAATTTAATATAAAGCATTCCTTTAGGTAACATCTAGAAGGAGATTTGATTCCTATAGAAGATCGCTTCTAAAAAATTAGTTTTTGTTTCTGTACAAATACCTCCTAATATCCCATCTTTTGCGCTACTAATATTTATTCTTCCTCTATTACATTTACGTCTATAAATATTTGTTTCATAGATTTCAACAATGCTCACGGATGTTTATGTAGATGCAAATGCATCTTAAAAATTAATATCTATCGATTGTACTAATACTCACCAAATTAGTTTTATATGATATAATCGCTTATTAAACTAACAACCATTTAGTTTTTTCGCAGATAATTATATCCAGAGATTCCAAATGCACTGGTTACGGACATAAATTATATAAAAAAAGTTGTAAGATTTAGGATTAGACCGAATACTATCAAAATAAAAGACACCAAATAAATCATAATTTACACAATAAAATTATTTACGTAAAAAAACTACATTAACAATAAAATAGAAAATATATAAGCCCACGGGTGTAGATCCATCCATTTTTTTTATCTATAACATGTCTTGTGTAAAATTATATAATAAAATTTTATTATTAACTTTTATATAATTTAAATTTATCTAAATAAAATATAATTATAAACTATTGAAAAATTTAATATTATAATAAAAATTTTTTAATTAAAATATTGGTTTTTAAAAGATCTGTTATATTATAGGAATTAATAAATTAAAATATTGGTTATTGAATAGTAATATATTTTAATTTATATAGCACACATTCATTATATTTTTATTTTGTTAGGAATTCAAATTCAATTTGTATTACTTTTTATGAATTTAAATTTATCTTTTCAATTTAACTTTTTATTTTTGTAATTCAAATTACTTATTATTTTTCGTAACCTTACTTTTTGTTTTTATATATATTCTAATTTATATTTTAGAAAATGTATATATACCTTAAGAAAAGAAAAAGAAGTTAGTTAATAAAATATATTTTTACTGACTCGCACCTCGCGCCATATCGTTAGTGTCCTTATTCTTTTCAAGATCCCATTTATAATATTTAATTTTAGAAAAGTAATTAATTAGTTTTTTTATTAATCTATTTTAATTTCATCGTTATTTTTTATTTTACTTAGATAATAATTTATACACTATTTAACTTTTGAAATAGACTTTTAAATGTATGACCATCGATTTACATTTAATTAAAAATTATATTTATTTATTGTTATCAGCTGACACCTGTCAAATGAGTGGCATACGAAAACTTATAAAGCATATTTATGTTTGCGCTTAGAAATTTTGAAATCCCAAATGAATCTACCCCTCAAGTTATAAAGCGAATATATTGATTATAATATTTATTTTAGTAGTTCTCTTGAAATACCTTTGCATGACATTATTAAGCAATCTGTTGAAGAGTTCAAGTTTTTTCTTTAGGCAAGTTAATTTTTTAGATAAAGCTACATTTTTAGAATTTTTTGGAATGAGCAAAAAAGCTTTAACGATGAAATTTCTCAGTTTTCCTGTAAAATTTTTGGCCATATTAATGAGGATATAAAGAATAGCCAAAATGATTTAAATAATTTAAAATCAAAAATTTCCAAATATACCTGTGATGCCCAAAATTTAAAAGATAAAATACTCAAAGTTATTATAAAACTTGAAATCAATCTAAACCTATTTTAAAGGAAACCAAACAATCAGAATATTTTTCAAGGATAAGGGCATCAAATAATGTATACAATTTCTTGAACAAAACAGATTTAGAGTACATAAATAAATGAACAATATTAAATCTTTTTTTAAAGATATTATAATGATTTAGTTATTGAATACCAAGAGCAAATTAAAAATATATCCCAAAATTTAAAGGATGTTAAAAATTACTTAGATTCATCACATATAAGCTCTCCTAAAAAAGCTTTAGATTCTCAAAGTAAATTTATATTTGTAAATTAAATAGTAAAAATGTTCCTATATTGATGATTAATATTAATTTTATATTGAATCATATATATTATATTATGGGTTAGGCAACATTTTTATTGATTATTTTATAGCCTTAATTGGAATTTCAAAATATCTACAAGAATTAATCATTATAGTTGCTTCAAATTTACAAACCGTGCATGAATTAATTCAAGTAATCTTTTAAATACTTAAAATTTTTATTTTATAATAGGCCATGGTTGCAACACACTTTCTAAGGTGTGATATAAATTGGCTATACACAACTAATTTTAATCTGCTTAAATCAATATTATGTTATTTAAAAAAAAATATACTAGCCTTACTCAGTTAATTTTTAAATCACCTAACCTTGACTAACTCAAATATGTGTAGAGCTTTTAGCCCAAAAAAATAACTTAAACCTCTCAATTGAGCCTCAATTTAAAGATTGAGACTGCATTTTAAGATGAAAACTTTACTAAGTTTGAAGTTAGCTCAAGATTTGTGATTTAACAACATACTTACTGGGCATTTATGTTTACCTAAGATCAGGCACTTCAGGCCATTAAAAAGTATTTCTGTGATAATATTTATAGCAGATTAGGATCAGCCTAAATATACTGTTTAAAAAAAATGGGACCAGGCTAATTAAAAAAATCAATTAGATAATATTGTCAGAGACCTGCAGGCCCAGCCCTATTGTCCTGGGTACCCGGGCCGGTCATATTTTAATTTTTTTAAAATATATCTGGGCTAGGCTTGATCGAGCTGAAAAATTCAAGGAACTTTAAGTTGTGGATGCCTCTAGGCATGGTTGGCAAGTGGTTAATTGACCAAAGGAGTATTTGACTAGGTCAAATATTCTAAAATGTTATTGATAAATATATTTAATTAACTAATATATATTTAAAACATGTTTATCAATCTAATTAGGTTACAATTTATTTAAAAATATATTTGTCATCAAGGCATCGATTTAATTATAATTTCATTTTGAAATATAAAAATAAATGAATTTTTCTCATTATTAATTTGATTGGATCTCAATATATAAATAAATATAATATTTTGCTAGAGCATGGTTTAGAAAATAATTAATTACCTATTTATATTACATTTACAATTATTGGGCATAGTCAATAATGTAAGGAGCAAATATAAATCTGTATAAAAGCTCTGAAAGCAGCTGTTGAAGAAATTGAATATTTTTGCGAAAGAAATTAACAAATATATTAAATGAAGAAATATTTTTCCAATTAATGAAGGGGAAATGTAGTAATGTAGGAATATATTGTAATATACTATTTATACATTATGAATTATTATATTCGTCAATAAGATATGCTTATAATGATTTTATATATTTATGGTTAATATAATATTGGGTGTAGGTTAACACTACCTAACACCCATAGCATGGATTACATAATATAATTATTACTGTCATGGTGGAATAAATAAATTACATATGTGTTTGCAAATATTCTAATTATTATATATACAAATAGTGTTTGCAAATATTCTAATTATTATATATACAAATAATAATTGTTTTATATTTATTTTAGGTGCAATTCTTAAAATATCACACCAAAAATGAATACCAATGATATAATAAATAAAATTAAAGATAATATATATATACACACACACTTTTAAACCAAATAGTTTAAAATCAGATATTATGTCTAAATTTAATATCATTATTGATGAAAATAAGAAAAATATTTGCTATGTGCAATGCATAAATTGTTCAAATTTATTATCTTATAATTATAATAATGGTTCATATCATTTAAGAAGACATAATGGTAAATCCATGAAAATTGATAATTTTTTATTTACAAATGAAAAACAAACATTTAAATTTAATCTAAAATATTTAAAAGAAAAATTTATAGATTATTCCTTAACTCTTTTTGCAAAAGATAATTAAGTCCTTTGAGATGATTGCCAAATCATTGATTTCACATCCCACCACTGTATCACGGGACTTTAAACAAAACTAATAAAATAAGAAAAATTTTGGATGCCAAGACTGCCCCAGTAAGCAAGAGTCAATTTATGGCTGTTTTCACTGATATATGGTCCGATGACCATAAAAAGAACTCTTTTATAACATTTAACATGCACACTATATTAGATGATAGGAAGCTAGTGAAGAAAAATATATTGCTAAATTTAAAGAGGTGTCAAAGACTAGTAAAGTAGTTAAGGATGAACTACTAAAGAATTTCCACAATTTTTTATTTTGATACAAACGATTTTATAAATATAATGTGTGACCAAGGTAAAAATACGATAGATAAAAGCATTAGAATTAAATGAAAGATTAAATGGTTGTTGTCATTTATTAAACACAGTTTTAAGAAATTCATATTTGGATAGTAATGCCCCATTAGTAAAATCTACAATAGATAATATTAAAATATTAGTGGGGCATTTAAAACAAAGTAATAAATGCTAGTATTTAAAAACCCTTTATCAAGATGTAGAAGTCCGCTATAACTCTAAATAAAATATGCTCAATAGTATTTTTTCACAGAATGAAGAAATTGTAAAAGTTCTTCAAGAACACGGGAGTTCGGAAAATTATTATATTATAGACTTTCCGATTCTTGAGGATCTTGTCAATATTCTTGGAATACAGAGCGATTGTTGAGTTACAGTCGGACTCTTGCACCTTTTTAAAGTGGTAATTTGGTATTATGAACTTTAAATTTATAATATCTATCAAAGCAATAAAAGAGAGATAAAATTGATTCTACTAATTATAAAGCATTTTTAAATTAAATTTTTTTTTTACATAAGTATCATTTTATCTCTCTTTTTCTCTGTCCCAAATTCAGGCAATTATATATATTGTTAGGGAACAGATCGCATGATGATGGAAAACTATATAAAAGACTATATTAAATTACAAGAGGGTCAGGAAGTTAATGAATTACCATCGACCAGTCGAATTACGACTGTTGTTAAACTAACTCAATCGTTTTACGACAAATGGGGCGATAACAATTCTGATATATATCAATACCCACTGATGAATTTAATAATTACTTAAACGTAAAAATAGATGAAACATTTAAAGTGGATAGTGGTGGGCGGCTCATCAAAGCCAATTTCCAATTTTGGCAAAATTGGCAAAACGCGTATTGGCAATTACTGCTTGATATAATACAATTATTTTCTTTTGTTAAATTTATATTATAAATAAATTATATTATATTGTGCAAATAGATTACATTCTCAAAATACTATTTACATACATGCATTTTTTTAAATAACGATTTATTTTTATTTTATAAATAGTAAATACAATATATTATATTCTCAAAATATTATTTACTTCCATTTTTATATAATTAGTTTTATTTTTATTTTATAAATACAATATATAATATATTATATTCTCAAAATATTATTTACACAAATTTTTTATAGTATCAATTTGTAATATACTAAATATCTGTTTAGAATAAAAGATAAAATGTGTAATATGTTTATAAATGATAATACTCGCTGAAAAATACGGTAAAATACCGAATAGGTAAATTTTAGTATACACGTGGTCGAATATATCTAAAAAAAAATCCGGTCCGGGCCTAAAAATATTAAACCCGGACCGGACCGTAAATTTTTAAAAAAAATCCGGGCCGAACCTTACAAATGATACCTCTGCAGGTCTCTGATTATTGTTCTCGATTTGATTTTATAAGTATTAGCTTCATTGTGTTTTATGTGATATCTTTTAATGATTTTTTTGAGTGTTTTTTAAATCTTAAAAACCGGATTTTACAGGAAATGTAATCCATATTGTGTAAAGTACTTTATGAATTTCAAAAAACTTTACCTTTAATTTTTTAGTTAAATTTATATAAAAAAAATGAGAATAAATTATATTAGGTTCAAAATATTTGAAATTCATAGGGTAGGTATTTCTAAACATGCATATTTCCAGTAAAATAAGATATTTAATATTTAAAAAATATTCTCAAAATATGATTTTAAAAGTTGAAAAAAATAACACATTGACACTAATATTATATGATATATAGTATTTTTTATTTTATACATAATTTCTTAATAATAAGTGATAAAGGAACCAAAATTTAATTTATTTGTAAAAGTATTTTTAAAAAATCAAATTATCCCTAAAGAAAGTGTGACAATATTTTTTCATTATAAAATTTGTACAAGAAAGGGATTTAAAAATATTTAACATGTAACATTCAAATTTATCTATAAATATTTCCCCTATTTTAAATGATGATTAACGTTTGAGGAATAAAATCAGGGATCTGAATCCTTCGACAAAAAAAGTTACAGATCTGGTTCAGGAATAAAATTTAAAAAAAGGTGTGGTTTGGAGAACAGAAATATTGACTCAAAATAACACATTTTTTTTATCATTTATTAATTTTTTATACTCCATAATACACACATAATTTACAAGTAGAAAATTAATTTATATTATAAATGTTTTATTTAATTGCACAATCATAATATAAAATTGAAGTATAAAAACCAGAAAATTTTGAAAATGTGAAGAAAAAAATAATTCTTATTAAAAAATTATAAATTTTTTTTTGACAATTAGAACCCCTGAACCCACTTTTAAAATGGGACTGGGTTCGGGTTTGGCTTCAGCAAAAATACGAGGGTTCAAGTCCGGGTTCACATTTCTGAATAAAATATCAAAATATACATATTTGTGATGATATACCAAATATTTCTTCGGTTAAAAAGTTAAGATTTTTTTGTTTTACTCATAATTTATTTTGCAGTTGTAGGAATTAATTTTTTTAATCTTGATCATCATTGATGACCATTTTTTTTATATTATAATGTAGATTATTTTTATTTATTTTTTTATATAATTTTTCATGGTTTCTTATTCTTTCAAAATCACAAATTGTTTTGTCCACGATAGTTAAATATAATCTTGATAAGATAAAATTCTTTTTGGCAATTTTGATTTAGATGTATATTATTTTTTTCCAAAAGTATTTAAGGTGAAAAACTGTATTTTGTCTCCCAAGTACAAGGGATAGAAAAAAACAAATTTACATTAGTAATTTTTTAATCTAAATATTAAGGAAAATTTTTACAATGACCAAAACCCGAAGAGAAATGATTAATTATAATACCACTCGAAAATTTGTTTTATCCGAATTTATTTTAAATATCCTG